ACACTTTCAGAAAGCTTGGTTTTCGCTTTTCCGAATGGAACAAAAATAAATAATAAATTTATTTTATTCAATTCTTATTCAAAATATTTATTTTATATATATTTAATATTTATCATTTATAGATTTTTATAGGTTTTGGCTTTCAGATTGAAGCCCTCCAAAATAATCTGTTTTTTTTATTTGAAAAGAAAAATAAAACATACGTAAAAATTGGGTGCGAAAATGTCCATTTTTCGTGCCCAAATCGACTCAAAAAATCTATTAAGGAAAAATTCCCATATTGGAGTAGTCATTTCCTACCTTACTGATTGCCAATGTAAATGCAGCAGTACGCATATCTTCAATTCGATTATCACTTAACCATTGATCGCGGATAGCATGATAAGCATTTATCATCGTTTCTTCCAGCCCAGAACGCACCAAATCAATTTCATCAGGTCCTTTTACCAACACCTGTTTGTCGCGTGTAGAAATAGTTTTTCCTGTATATTTTTCGATAGTATCTACTAAATCTTGTGCCGCATTTTGCTCAAAACGCTTGGTCATACGACCAAAACGGACGTGTGAAAGGTTTTTAAGCCATTCAAAATACGAAACAGTTACACCGCCTGCATTGATATACATATCAGGCACAACCCATATTCCTTTTTTGTTTAGGATTTCGCTTGCCTCGGCTGTAACTGGTCCATTGGCGGCTTCCACCACAATTTTTGCTTTGATGCGAGACGCATTTTCCACTGTAATTTGGTTTTCTAAAGCTGCAGGAATCAAAATATCACAATCCAACTCCAATGCTGCTCGTTTATCCACCAGTGGTGTAGCACCCGGAAAGGTCATAATCGTACCATTTTCTTTGCGATGTTGGATTAAAGCCTCAACATCAATGCCATTGGGGTTGTGAATAGAGCCTTCATATTCGGCAATGCCAACAATTTTAGCATCTCCTTCTTGCTGGGCTATCAGCGCAGAATAACTACCTACATTGCCTAAGCCTTGTACCACGATTTTTTTGCCTGCAATGCCCGTTGATAATTTCAATTTTTTCATATCTTCTTTGATACTTACCATTTCGCGCATTCCATAAAAAACACCCCGACCAGTAGCTTCTGTGCGTCCATGAATACCATTCATAGAAACAGGTTTGCCTGTCACGCACGCGATGCCGTCCAAATCACCATGTTTCATCATGACATAAGTATCCATAATCCAAGACATTTCGCGAGGCCCCGTGCCATAATCAGGTGCAGGAACATCGATGCCAGGGCCTATCATATTTCGATGAATCAACTCAGAGGTATAGCGACGGGTAATACGTTCCAATTGTTCTTCTGTATATTTTCGCGGGTCAATTTTCAGCCCACCTTTTGCACCTCCAAACGGCACATCCACCAAAGCACATTTATAGGTCATTAGGGCGGCAAGTGCCATTACTTCCTCTTGGTCCACGCTTAGGGCATAACGAATCCCCCCTTTAGTTGGCATACGATGATGGCTATGTTGTACCCGATAAGCCTCTATTACCTCAATGTCATTGCCTATCTTAACAGGGTAACGCATACGCAAAACGATATTACAGGCTTTAATCTGACCTAAAAGTCCTTCTGGCAAGCCCGTAAACGGGGCAGCTTTCGCAAAATTGCGGTTAACACTTTCAAAAAATTGATTACTGTTCATTCCTTTTGAAACTTTGATTCTTTAATTTTAGTTTTATATCAAGGTTAATTTTTTAGATTTATAAAAACACAATATTAAATGGAATTTGTGATAAAAATGCCTTTAAAATTATATTATTTTTTATTTTTCCAAATTTTATATTATTTTCAAAAAAGTCATTAGAGTATTTTCATTTTTATAAAAATATGCTCAATTCATTATTCGATTTGTAAAAAGATAAGCAAAAGAAAAAATGATAGGATTTAAACCCATGAAAACCATTCTAATCATAAAAAAATGACGCAAAATTTTCCCTCTTTCTTCTAAAATTTTTCAAAATTAAAATTTGGCACATTTATTGCTACTTATACGCAGGCAAACATTGACTCCGCCAACATATCTAATCTTAATGAATGTGAATAATAAAAAAATATAATTTTCTGATTATTAATATATTATACCACATATTTCAGATAAACCATCAGCCCAAAATGACAAAATATTTTTTTCTTAATTAAACTTAATGGGTGTCATGAAGTTATTAAATGTAAAGTTTTTTATTATTTTGCTTAATATCGTATTATTATTGTTGTATAAAAATATAGCAAATGCACAAGCTATCATCGGCAGTAATGTATCTGGTGTTCAACCTAACTTAGGTGCGTGGATGGAAATGACCAATGGTGCATTACCTATTGGTTCAAGTCGTGGTTTCCTTATTGCTCGCGCGAATATGTCCGCCATCGCTAATACTTCTACTTTTGGACTAAATGGTGCAGGAACAGCAGGCATTATGGTATATAATACTGGTACAGGCAATGGCTTTACACCCGGGTTGTATATATGGACAGGCACCGCTTGGCAACAAACAGCCACCTCATCAAGTGCTTGGGCTACTACAGGTAATACAGGCACCGACCCTGCTACCCAATTTATAGGCACTACTGATGCACAAGACTTTGCAATCCGTACCGACAATACCGAAAAGATGAGAGTAACAAGTGCAGGCAACGTAGGTATCGGAACAGACAATCCAAATTACAAATTAGATGTTATTGACGAAATTCGCATCAATGGCTCAAGGATAAATTATTCTTCAGCTCGAATTATATTAGAAGGCGATCAAGTTGATAGTGGTAATCAAGGAAATGGAATATATATTTTAGACGGATTCGGAGCGGGAGTAAGAAGAGAATGGTATTTTGGTAAGCCTTATGGAGAACAAGGATTAGCTATAAAATCAATGCAAAGCGATATTTTTGATGTGTCAGCAGCAGCTTTAGCCACCACTCATCTTTACATAGACGGTGTCGCTGATAGAATAGGCATCGGAACGAATGTGCCGAGTTATAAATTAGATGTAGTAGGAGATATGAATGCCTCCGGGAATGTTCGGGCAGCAGGAATCATTCTTACATCAGATGCTCGCTTAAAAACCAATATCAAACGTATCGAAAATGCGATTGAAACGATAAATAAACTAAATCCTGTGTCATACGACAAAAAAGAAAATTTCTCTGACACAAATTATAAAAAATCGGAAATAGGTTTCTTAGCGCAAGAAGTACAAAAAATATTGCCCCAATTGGTTTCAGAAGGAAAAGATGCAAACAAAATTTTGGCATTGGACTACAATTCGCTCATTCCATTATTAACAAAATCGATACAGGAGCAGCAAGTCCAAATAAAAGCCAAAGACACCGAAATAAAAGCAGTAAAAGCAGAAATAGCTGAGCTAAAAGCCTTGATAAAAGAAATAATAAGCCGTAAAAACTAAATTTTTTCGCTTTTGCCTGTCGTGAAATCTATAAAAAAGTGAAATCACAAAAATAAAAGTAAAAAAGGTCAGCAAAACTCAAAATCTTGCTGACCTTTTATTTTTGCAATAGATATGACCTTTTTTTTATAAAATATAATATTCTGAACTAAAAGGATATTATCAAAATAATATTTTTCTATAAAAAGATTTATTCAAAATAATATTTTTTAAATACAATTTTTTTGATAAAAAACACCTATATTTTCGAGACTTTTCTTTTGAGACTGCAATAGATTTTTTTATCTTGAAAATCGCTTATTTATAAGTCATTTTTCCTTTAAAATTGCTAAAAATACTGAGAGGGTCATTTCTTTAGCAGCGTACAAAGAAAAGTCTCATATTTTCTGTGGATTGCTCAACTTTATTTCATGCAATAAAACCAACTGATTTATCGCTCTATTAAGGTTATGTTGCGGATATCTTGTGCTATAATAGACATCATTATTCAAATAATCAGTCAAAAAACGCAGTGCTTGCATATAAATCATAAATTCACCTGAATATGCAAAATATTGTTTTTCGGTGGTTGAGAGGGCGTTTTTCATTCCTGAAAAATAGCCTTCCGTAATGGCTTGATAAAAATCTTTTCTAACCTCAATTTTACTAAAATCAGTTTCCTCTTCGCTGACAGGCGACAGATAAGTGCGCATCATATCGCCTACATCGCTGATAAAATAGCCCAACATAGTAGTATCTAAATCAATGACACACAATCCTTTATCATTTTTATCAAAAAGAATATTGCTAATTTTAGTGTCATGATGCGTGATACGCAGTTTAAAATCAGGATTCGTTTTCATACTTTCAAAAATATGGACAATGTTGGCATTTTCTTCAATTTTTCTAATCCATTTGCTCGCCGTTTCAATACGTCCTTTGTTTCCATTAACCAAAGCTTCTTGAAATTGACGATAGCGCAAACTTAAGTTATGAAACTGAGGAATCGTCGTTTTGATTTTAGACATTTCGATATCTCTCAGTAAAAACGTGAATTGACCAAATTGTCGAGCAGCTTCAAAGGCTTGCTCAGGAGTTTCGACGACATCAATCGAATGTGAGCCTTCGACAAAAGGAAAAAGCCGAAAATAACCTTCATTTTTCACAAAAATCATGTCCCTGCCATTTATTGTCTGAAGAGGGGAAATAAATAGGTAATTTGGCTCATTTTTTTGTAAATATTTGGCAATCAATCGAATATTATGCGCAATATTTTCAGGTTGTTTGAAAATGGTGTCATTGATGCGTTGCAGAATATAGGCTTTTTCGGAACATTCAATGCGCCAAGTGTGGTTGATAAGGCCACTACCAAAGGGTACAATTTTGAGCGAATTGAGGTTTAAATTATAGTTGGAAAGAATAGTCTGAAATTCCACGTCAAAACGTTTTCAATTAATAATCATCATTCAAAGCAAAAACAGGTTTTCGATACATCCACTGACCACCTGTAAAATCAGGAAACTCAACCGTTTCGTTACCTAAATCAATAGACATTTCGCTTAAAGGCGTAATAGCACTCCAAGTTGCAGCATCATAAACGTCCATTTGTGTCGGTGTTTTTCGTTTAGCAGCCTCAATGAACGAGTGAATCACAAAAAAGTCCATGCCACCATGCCCTGCACCTTGTGCATCAGCACCATATTTTCTCCAAAGCGGGTGGTCATATTCGTCGAGCCAAGGTTTGGCGTCGTCCCATGCGTGTGGCTTTTTGGCTTTGCTCTCCAGATAAATACTTTTATTCACGTCCATCCATATCCCCTCAGTACCTTGCACCCGAAATCCGAGGGAGTACGGGCGAGGAAGGTTTGTATCGTGTTGCAATAAAACAGTTTCGCCGTTGGCACAACTGATTTGAGTGGTGACTACATCTCCCAGTTTGAAATTCACTTTAGCATTAGGGTGCGACTCACCACCTTTTTTGACAATATGGTTGTGCAAACCCCGTGCTTTTGTCGAAAACGAAGATAAAGTCATAAAACGATTGCCTCGATTGATGTTGATATAGTGCGCCACAGGACCAATGCCATGAGTTGGGTACAAATCGCCATTGCGAAATTGCGAATGATGCGTACGCCATTTTGCTTCTGAATAGCCTTTTTCGCCATATTCAACACCGTTGCCGTAGTAACCTTTGCCATCATTAAATTTGACTTCACGCAAATCGTGTTGATAGCCACCTTGTAAATGAATGATTTCACCAAATAAGCCTTGTCTGACCATATTTAGAACGGCAATAACGTCACGACGATAGCAAACATTTTCCAGCATCATGACATGAGCCTTGTATTTTTCGGCAGCTTGCACCACGTCCCAATGGTCGTGAAGCGTAATGCCCAAAATAACTTCCGTGCCAACATATTTGATGCCCGCTTCCAACGAAGCAATAATCATTGGTTTGTGCCACTCCCAAGGTGTAGAAATGATAACAGCATCTAAGTCTTTGATTTCCAACATCTTTTTCCAAGCGAAATCATCGCCTGTAAACACTTTTGGCATTGTTTTACCCGATTTTGTCACCATTTCTTTAGCTTTTGTAAGTGTTTGGTCGTCTATGTCGCAAATGGCAACTACGTTCACATCAGCTCGTCGTAGCACCAAGTCAAGATGGTTTAAACCACGCGCACCCACGCCAATAAGAGCAATGCGTACCTTTTCAGCCATAGAATTGGGTATTGAAAAAAGCGAACTTGTTGGCAAAATAGCGAGAGATGCTGCGCTTAGAGTTGTGATTTTGATGAAGTCTTTCCTTTTCATGTTTTGCTTTATTTTATAAAATGCCAGAAATATACAAAATCACGCAAAATATTTTCTATAAGTGGAGCAAAACTTGTTTTACAAAAAAAATATAGTAAAAAAATGCTTAGTCTTTTATTTTTTTTAAAATATAATATTTTGACATAAAAGGATATTTATAAAATTATATTTTTATTAAAAAGCAAAAACACAAAATTATATTTTTATTAAAAAGCGTTTAATTAAAATAAAATTTTTATAAAAACAAACAAAATAAAAACAATTTTTCAAAATTTTCATCCTGACAATAAAAATGCTCGGTATCTTATTTTCATAAAATATAATATTTTGAAGTAAAAGGACATTACTAAAATTATATTTTATAATAAAGGCATTCAAATAAAATTATATTTTATTTAAATCTAATTATTTGTAAATTCCTCTTTTTTAGCATAATACACTTTCATCGGTAAATCGTAAACGACTGAGTTTTTCTTTTCTTTGTTCTCTACATAATGCACCGAATGAATATAAGGCTCTGCCAAATTGATTTTATCCAGAGGCGTAACCACCATCAGTTGTAAGTTTAGTTGTTTGAAGAGTTCCATTGCATATACTGCATTTTCGGGGTCAACTTTGCTAAACGCCTCGTCCACCACCGCAAAACGGAAAGATTTTCGACGCGTATCTTCGTTTCTAATCCCAAATTGATAGGCAATCGCAGAAGCAAGAATCGTATATGCCAATTTTGCTTTTTCGCCACCCGAAAGGCTTTGCGAATCAACATAATATTGACGTTGCTGATTGTCGGCACGATAGCGTTCGATAGCAGCAAATTCGAGCCAATTGCGCACATCAGTCACTTTTCGCCGCCAAGTTTCGTTGCCTGAAAGTTCTTCGATAATTTTTTTAATGCGCACAAAACTGGATTCTAACTCATTATCTTCATCTCGAATAAGTTTTGCGGGGTCGGGCATTGCATCGCGCAACATTTGACGAAAATCTCGAATGGCAACATCACGCGATTTATGCACGTCCAACTCTATGTAAGTCTGCGGATTCGGGCTAAAATTAATATCACGCAAAGAACTATTGATTTCTTCAATACTTTCCAAAATTAGGGTTTCTTTGTTTTCCAAAGAAGTTTTAAAATTGGCAATATCAAAAATTAGGCGTTCATTGAGCCACTCCTTAAAGCGTTTTTGGTGTTTTGGCAAATCTTCTTCGCTCAATTTTTTATAAAAATCTTCAAATTCATTCAAATAAGCCGTATCTGCCTTCAAATTAAGTACATCTGCTGACCAATTTGGATATTTTGATAAAATATCTGCATTGGGGTTAATAAATTTTTGCATATCTAAGGTCAAGCGACGTTCTAAATTAGCAACTTCTTTCTGCTTTCGTTCTTTTGATTCAGCGGTATTTTTGACCACTTTTGATTCTAAAATGGCAATATTGCTAATTTGAGGCTCTTTTCCTTCAAATAAAGGTTCTATTTTAGCACGATAAGCAGCCCAATTGTTTGGAGTTTGATTGCTTTGATTTAAAAATTCTTCCGACAATCGGATTTGTTCCAGATAACCTTCTAAACGACTTTCCAAACGCGTTTTTTCGTTGAAATAACGTTCTCGCTCCTTATCTTTTGCGTCAATATCCTGTTTTGTTGTTTCTAATTGTTGTTGAAGCGTTTGCAACTGATTAGAGCTTTTGCTTAAACTTTCCTTTTGGCTTTTTAGCTCCAGCACTAATTTATTGCTTGTTTTCCAGTCTATTTCGGCAAAATTTTCAAAATTTAACAATCGTGTAAGCGTATCACGTCGGGTTTGCAAGTCGTTTCGTTGGGTTTTATGGTGTCGAATTTGCCGATTCAAGTCCTGTGTTTGTTCTTCGGTGGCTTTAGCGTTGCGTTGTGCTGCGAGAATGGCTTCGCGGTTATCCCAGCCCAAAATAGCCCGTTCTTTTGTTTTTAGTGCGTCAGAATCATCTTTTTCATAAGAATTATTGGTTTTTATCAAGCCTTTTTCTGTAATAGATTTATCATAGCGTTGCAATTCTGCGATGCCATCTACACAACGATAATTGTAATTTTCATGCAAATAAAGCTCCAATTCGGTCGTAAAATCTGTACCTTTTTTAATTTCTATTTTTTGTAAAATGCTTTGCTTTTCCAATTTATTTGAGGGGGTAACATTATTTTTTTCTAATTTTAAATAAAAAATCTTGCCTTCCAAGTGGTGATGTTGTACATATCGGCTCACCGCCTCTAGATGCTCTTCTTTTAACAACAAAGTTAATCCGAGCGGACGCAACAAACGTTCTGCTGCGTTTTCCCATATTTCATCAGTTACTTTCAACAGTTCGGCGGCAAAGGGCAAATCGCGTTCGAGAATATTCAGTTTTTTAATCAATTGCTCACGAATATGTACCTGCGTCATCGGAACAAGGTTTTTGCGTTGTTGCAACGAAAGTAACTCCTTTTTTTGGGCAGCCAAAAGTTGTTGGGCTTGGTCAAAATTGGTTTTCAACTCAAATTCTTTATCCATCAGCGTTTGCGTTTCAATTTCCGCCTGCTCAATACCTTTTTTGGCATCTTCCAAACCTTGATAAAATTGTTTTTCATTGGGGTCAGTTTTCCATGCCAACGACTCAACTAATTTGTTATAAACGTTGGCGCGATTTTGGCGTTTTGAGCGTTCATCTTCTGTTTGTTTGATGTTGCGTTCTAATTGTTGTAATTGTTCATAAGCCTTATTGCCGCTGATAGAAATTGTTAATTCATCGCGCTGCAAACCTAATTCGCTGATAATGCGTCGATTATCTTCGATTTGATTATTTTTTCTAAGCACATCATATTCTAATTCTTGGCGCGCAACTTGATATAATGTTACTTTTTGGTGTGCAAAAAAATACACAATTTGTTGTTGTAAATCTTCTATTTCGCTCAGGTCTTTGGTCGTTTGACGATAAGTTTCGCCATTTTCTAAAATTGGGAGCAACAAAGCAGCTTGTTCACGAGCCTTTTCGATGGCTTTGTGAGAAGTAAGTAAATTGTTATATAATTCACGTAATTGAGAAAATTCAGCTTCTGCATCATTTTCTTCGAGCATATTTGTGCGAATAAACTCATTCAAATTGCCCAAAACCTTGATACCAACCGTTTGCGCAAATAGAATTAGGGCTTTCTCGGACTTAAAACCAAATATTTTTGAAAAACGCTGGGCATATTTTGTAAAACTATCAAATTCCTCTACGCCATATTTTTTCTTCAAAGTTTGTCGCCAAACGCCGCCCGTATCAAAAGGCGTAAAATGTTCTTCAATCGTCAATGCAGTAGTCGAAATCAAATAAGAACGCCTCAAATCATGG